AATGCATTTTGTTTTTGTGTTTTTATGGGATTCAAGAGTGTGTGAATAAGTGGGTCTCTGAATCTATCTCTTTCTTATGCTTTTTATTGAGCTGTATTCCTTCTGTTTATTTCTTTAGACTAATTTTGATGTGTTTGTCTTTATTTTTTCCTTTGGAAGCATGTTTGCTTCCTAATGAAAGACAGAAAGGAGATAGAACTACATGGGAAAGTGGAGAGGAACTGGGAGGAATAGAAGGAAGGCAATCCATAATTGGGATATATTCTATTAAAAAATCTATTTTCAATGAAAGGAAAGAAATGTGTAAACCACAATTTTTGAAAGAAAGAAAACTGTATTCAGTATTACAGTAGAGGAAAAAGAAATATGCTGTGCTGTAGGGGAGGAAAGACTAATTGTATATAATACAAAAGATAATAAGAATTTTGAACTTATTAGTGGTATTTTGTTTTTTTTCTATATTTTTTTTAAAATTTTTTCAATTCATTATACATTGAGCATATAGTTTGTGATCCTAGAGAAGCTAAATAATAAGATGAACCCAAAGAAAAACATATATAGATCCTCCTGGAAACTGGAAGCACACAAAATCACCGGGCAAAAGTTGTGAGCATGGGGGTGGGGTGGGGGAAGGGGAGATGGGAGGAGGGAAGGGAGAAGGTGAGGATTGGGGAAAGCTTGGGGGAGTGGGAAGGTTGAGATGGAGGAAGGGCAGATATGGGAGCAGGAAAGAAGATGTCTTAATTAAGGGAGCCATTTTAGGGTTGGCAAGAGACTTGGCTCTAGAGGGGTTTCCAGGTGTCCAAGGGGATGTCCCCAGCTAGGTCTTTGCACAACAGAGGAGAGGGTGCCTGAACTGGCCTTGCCCTATAGCCACACTGATATATATCTTGAATATCACCATAGAACCTTCATCCAGCAACGGATGGACATAGAGACAGATTCTCATATCGGAGCACTGGTCTGAGTTCCCAAGGTCTAGTTGAAGAGCAGAAAGAGGGAGAAGATGAGCAAGGAAGTCAGGACCCTGAGGTGTTTGTCCACCCACTGAGACGGTGTGACTGATATAAGGGGAGCTCACCAAGGCCAGCTGGACTGGGACTGAAAGAACATGTGATCAAACCAGACTCTCTGAATGTGGCTAACAATGGGGGCTGACTGAAAAGCCAATGATAATGGCACTGGGATTTGATTCTACTGCATGTATTGGCTTTTTGGGATCCTAGTCTGTTTGGATACACACCTTCCTAGGCCTGGATGGAGGAGGGAGGCTTTGGACTTCCCACGGGGCAGGGTACCCTGTCCTTTCTTAGGACTGGAGGGGGAGAGGGGATGGGGATTGGAGAAGTGGGAAGGAAATGGGAGGAGGTGGAAATGTTGAATGGTATTATTATTAAAGCAAAAAATTGGTTAAGATAATGAATTGGAAAAAAACATTTTTTAAAGGTGAAAGAAAGTTGAACAAGCATTGGGCAGAAAGTCATAAGCAATGTCTGTCCACAGACTCTGCTCCAGTTCGTGCCCCCAGATACCTGTCTTGAGTTCCTGCACTGATTTCCATGGATAACAGACTACAAGCTGTAAGATTTTTTAACAAGTGATATCCTCCCAAGTTGATTTTGATCGTGTTTATGCAAGGAATAGAAGCCTTAAATAAGACAGAGCCTGGAGATCTAGTCCTCTGATGGAAGCTTTATTTGCTTGTAGCTCCTTATTCAGAGGTAGAATTAGAGAACATCTCCCTATAGCAGCATCAACTTGCATTGTAGACACCTGCTCCATGCCGTCATCAACTGCCTGTAACACTTCAATATATAATAAACCCTCTTGAGTACCTCCCCCATGGCCGTTTTAACTGCCTATAACTCCTCAGTAAAGAAAAAGCCCTGTTGATCCCGAATTTCCTGAGAAACCGCCAAAGTGGTTGCACAAGTTTGCATTCCCACCAGCAATGGATGAGTGTACCCCTTCCTCCACAACCTCTCCAGCAAAGGCTATCATTGGTGTTTTTGATTTTAGCCATTCTGACAAGTGTAAGATGATATCTCAAAGTTGTTTTGATTTGCATTTCCCTGATCGCTAAGGAGGTTGAGCATAACCTTAAGTGTCTTTTGGCCATTTGAACTTCTTCTGTTGAGAATTATCTGTTCAGATCAGTGCCCCATTTTTTAATTGGGTTAATTAGCATGTTAAAGTCTAGTTTCTTGAGTTCTTTATGTATTTTGGAGATCAGACCTTTGTCTGTTGCGGGGTTGGTGAAGATCTTCTCCCAGTCAGTGGTTTACCTTTTTGTCTTAGTGACAGTATCCTTTGCTTTGCAGAAGCTTCTCAGTTTCAGTAGGTCCCATTTATTCAATGTTGCCCTTAATGTCTGTGCTGCTGGGGTTATACATAGGAAGCGATCGCCTGTGCCACTCTTGGGAATATACCCAAGAGATGCCCGATCATATGACAAGGGCATTTGTTCAACTATGTTCATAGCAGCATTATTTGTAATAGCCAGAACCTGGAAACAACCTAGATGTCCTTCAATGGAAGAATGGATGAAGAAAGTGTGGAATATATACACATTAGAATACTACTCAGCGGTAAAAAACAATGACTTCTCGA